TAATATGAAAACACAACACAAAAAACACAATGTCAGAGTTACAGCGTATTCACACCCGTAATTCGATGATTTTTTATTTAAACCTAGGTCATTGCACGAAGTAACTAATTTAAACGTTTCTGTGACATGTTTATAAATAACTAGGTACCTACGTTCATTTATTAAAAAGAGGATGGTAACATCATTATGACATAAGCGTCGAACCCGCAGCGATGATGGGGTGACATCACATCCACTTAGCATGCAGGGATACTTGTGTAAATTATTATTTGTCTGTTGATGATAATCCAATGGATTTAAAAATAGAGTCTAATACATCATGACAGGTTTTTGTTTTCTTTATTTCAAGTTCTTTTGTACAATCAAGTGCAAAACTTACGTGTGTTGTAGGTACTAAACGTAATAAATTATCGCCCACCTTGGGCACATTTGTTTTTGAAACCAGATTTAACGCCCATAAACATTAACCTTCACCTCAACTCAACACCTAAAGACAAATTTTCTGTTTTTATTCTTCATCTTGAGATAAGTATTATTTTTACTGAAGAGTCATCAAGTTTCTCGTTTCGTTATTCAATACTTTTTTATAATTTTCATATCAATTTATTTCCTGGATAACCAACAAGCGTTGTTTACAACCTATTAACAGTTAATGCACTATTTTATTGGTCTGATTAAAATATCTATGTAGGAAGTTTGTAATTGTAGGGAAAACACCTTGAAATGCATTAGCGCAACGGAGGATGGAGGAGGAACGCATGACGCCGCAAAGTAATTGCCTAACACATCTTTTAGGTGTCTGTTTGAAAGCAGCAGTGCCGAAATTCTTAATGTGGTTCGGGACTATTCCCACCTCTAGTTCCCACCGCTGCAACTCCTGCCAAGCCAGGATCTACCTGTTTATTAAAACCCAACCAGTGAAGGTAAAGTTTGTCCCGGGGGAAAGTTAAACTGTCATTGGATCTCTTTGAAGGTCGTGATATTAGTAGTGAGACAACTCAGTAAAGGGCTGCTGGGCTGCCGTAATATTACGAGGGCGTAAAGCTGCCAAAAGAAATAGCTAATTAGGCTAGATGTAACGGTGATTCTCGTTGGTCTTCGTAAGAAAGGAGTACCGTTGACCTGGCAAGCAATTAATATCCTCTTATGGATATATTAGTGATAAGAAAATCATTCTTTAATATTATTTACTGTTGAAACGATCGGTCATGGTGTTATGACTAATTGTAATTCGTTTCACAGTGCGAGATATAATTTTCATTAATTATGTGAACTCAAGCAAAAATAATGCAAGAGTTAAGAGTTAGTTCTGTTATCAAAGACTGGGGCTTTGAAAGAAAGTCCTTCCCTTTGAAAGAGTATTCTTATCGTTATTACGAGTATTACACAATGGGTTGCTAATTTTTAATTGACAGGTTGCAAGTCACTATTGACATTTAATTATAGGGAGACGTAATCATTTTAGGAGTCAATAGAAAAGAATATTGTGTTTTATTTGTGTGTGAAACTTGTAATTCATGTTTTTTTTTAATTGTTTACTCCAAATTATGTTTCTACGAAAACTTTCCAAATTTTTTGCAAGAAACATATTTTTAGACGTCGACTCTACTAGTATTTAGGATATTAGGTAATTCCAAAAACTCATGAGCACAAGATGACTGTACACGTAATTATTCACGTGCAAAAATACATAATGTTGAGTTGGCTTCCGTGAATCGGCGCACACGCATGTAAACACGTCTGTGAGTTTAAGACAATGTTTGAAAGGAAAACCTTCTAAATTATTGGCTGATAAATAAATTTTTATGCCGACATAAATGAATAGAATTAATTACCTACCTAGAGTCTAGACAATTACTTATTCGCCTATTCAATATGACGTGAGGTACTACAGGGTGGAAACGATAAGTGATCTCACTCGATTATTTCTAAACTATACAAGATATCGAAAAACTGATTACTTATCCTGAAAGTGTTTTACGAGCTCTTTCAAACGGTATCAATGATATGCTACAGAATATACTGAATCTATCCGAAAATTTAATGTTTCTAGGTTCCACCCTGTATATTTTATTTTTTCATCTTAATGTTCTCATTAATTTCGTTAAGTCCAATGATTGAACTTTCCCCCGGGACAAGCCTGATTTTGTTTTACTCGCAGTCAAGCTGTAGATCCTAACTACTCAGGAGTTGCAGCGGTAGGACCAAAAAGTGGGAATAGTCCCGTTTAACAGATAGGTACCTACGCAGTCAAGTAATTTTATTCATTGCATGTTTACTAGCAATACACTTAAAAGTTCGACATTAGATGAGCCATCAATGTTTTTGTGCTTCGTACCTATTCAATCTTAATCCAAGGTCTCCTCTTAATATGCAAATGCGAATCTAGGCATTATGAAATAAAACCGTGCCGTCACGTCTGGGATATTCAGACGACAGCACGTCAAGCTAAACACAGTGGCATCTTATATCTTTGTAATACAGGTTATTTTGCAACTAAAATGTATAGTATGATGTAGGTACGTGTGTCTGTTCATCAAGATGCAAGTTTTGTGGAACGAAAATAAATTAGTTTCCCAACGTCATATTGTGTGTGCTCTTCATCCGTGTAGCCTGGTTATGTCGTTAGATTTGATAAAAATAATTGACGAGCGACGGCGTGCGAGTTCGCCGCCAGTGTTTCAGAATGTTGCAACAATGGTACAATGTCTTCGATAATATTGCTTGTAATTTATTGTCAACTTACTGGTCATTGCCCACTGTATTAATTAATGTTTTAGTTTAAAGTAGAGGCACGTAGAGGGTGGGTACGACTTGTTTCAAGAAACAAAAAAGCTTGTGTGTTATGTCTGTACGACGGAGGTTACGTCAAATTGAGCTACTTCCAGTGCCTCTTTCCAACTTTGTTCTAACACCGCTTTAAGTATAGACACAATGGAATATGCACCATTTCTTTATCAATAAATTGGTTTTAATCCCGCTGTCGGATTTCCTGGCGACTGTCTTCGCTAAATCTGTCACCCTTGTTCACACATATCAGTTTCTAGGGATGAGTGATAGAGATAGATATAGCCAAAAATACGGACGTCGTAAGGAGTAGCCCTGCTGGACTATTTCAAAGCCCGCTCCGATTTCCACGGTAGTTCCCTGGCTCGTGGCCAAGTGACCGGCATTTGGCTGAACTGGGATTAGTAACTTTGGTTAACTTTCTTTTAGTTAATAATAATAAATAAGCTCCCGAGCGTCCCGCAAATCGAGATCAAAAAAGTGACATTTAGCTAGTAGATGACCTACATTGAACTTTCCCACCAAACTCATTGACAGGGGGGCGCCACCATCGTTCAACTATACAGGGTGTTAGGTAAATGGGTATGAGCCGACACTAGCCCATGTTAACATGGGCATATAAATGGTATGGCGAAGTCAGAAATTTGATATCATTTTTTTTTTAATTTTCATACTAAATAAATGTTATAAAATCCTATTTGTATGAAAATTTAAATAATTAAAATGAAGATATCAATTTTCTGACTTCATCATAGTACCATTTATATGTATGTATGCCCATGCTAACATGGGCTAGTGTCGGCTCATATACCCATTTACCTAACACCATGGCAAAAATTGGAATCAGCGATCTGGTATTGACCGTGGCGCCCCCTGTCAATGTCTCGAGTGGGAATGTTCATTGTATTGGGTCTATACGAGTATTATTTTATTACCACAGAGACCACAGAGTACGCCTTCATTTTTTTTAGGTAGGTAGGTACTTATTATGGTAGTGTTACAAGATTATTTTATTTCTTGTTTTTCATATAACTTTTCTTTATTCGTGTTTTTATGTAATAAAAACTACAGAGGTTTTTATTTTCTACAATTTCATCATACGCATATAGCGCCATCTATTACAATCATGTTGCATTAGACAGTAGAATAGCGTGCTTTACAAGGAACCATTTAAGTATGTAATTGGTATTGCGTAGTATAGATGGAGCTTACAACATTTTTCATTATGATTAGAAAATACATAATAAATTATTATTCTTTTTAATTAATTAAATCACGTAATATAATACGGCCTTTTCTCTTGTAAATATTGATAACATTTTACTAATTTAAGAGTGCCATAAGAAATGTTCGGCATAACATGATTAACAAAATCATAATGAATAATGTTGATGGAAGGTAAAACTTCTTAACGTTTAGGAGTTGAAGAATAATTATTTAAATATTATAAGACACGTACACATACAGTTTTTAAAGTAATGCAAGTGTTTGCATTAGGTAGTCATTATCTCATGATGATGAACTGACAATGAAAGTTACAAATCCTTAATACTTGTTGTAGTGGGATATTATGTTGAGGGATATTTTTTTAAATATTTTTGGTAACGTATGGTACGGTTTTCACCAGTAGATAAGTGATGAAGAAGTTTTAGATATCTAGGTGTGTAATAGGTAGGTGGGGTATAATAAGTAGGAGATAAACTTAGGTTTTCTTTATTTATTATCCACAACAAGAAAGCTTTTGGTCTGCATCTTACTTGATGAAAAGCGATGATCAGAAGACCGAAGAAGGTTCACCCGGAATCCTCAACCACAGAGGAACTGACTATCTTACCTCCAACTGCCGGAACAAAACAATTAAGTTAACATTGGATAGATAATTAAATAATATTATAAATACATATTTTATAATATGATAAGTTTAATTCAGTAAATTAAACAGTAACGTTTAAACCTACCTTTCAATAACCTTAAGGATTCTAGCAACAGAATCTCATTGGATTGATGAAGCCTTGTCGGGTAGCCATTTCTATTAAAAAGTATTTTTAATCTCTTTGCGTTTTTAAGTCTTCAGACTTAGGTATGCCTTTGCTCTTTGATCGATAAAAGTCAATTAGTTGCACCAGGGTATTTCTATGAATTCTCATATTGAATTTTAAACGATTAAAGTACTTAATCTACTTTCAACATGAATTGCTTTTTTTCTTTTTCAGTTGGACGACGCGACCTTACAAATTTTCAAGGATGGTGACTACGGACCGTACCTTGACCTTGACTCAACGCTGGGTGAGCAGGAGGAAGAAATCGAGGGTCTTCAGGACAAGTAAGTTTCTGTAAAACATTTAATAATCATTTTTTATAACATTTTGTTTCATAAATAATTACCTTTTAAAAAAAATAAAACCGACTTCAAATGCGTGAACACAAAAAAAACTAAAAATTAAAAATATTGCGTATAAAAAAGTTCATCCCCAATTTTCCACCCTTAGGGGTGAAATATTTTCTTCAAATTCTCATGAAACCACCCTTTTGATAATACCTATTCAACAAAAAAATAATCGTTCAAATTGATTTATAATCGGCGGAGATATTGCGTATAAAAAAGTTCATGCCCAATTTTCCACCCTTGGGGGTTGTTTTTTCTATTATTAAATTTAAATGGGACCACCCTTGAGGTATTACCTATACGCCGAAAAAAGATTTGTAAAAAAAAAAAAAAAAAAAACATACGGGTCGAATTGAGAACCTCCTCCTTTTTTGAAGTCGGTTGAAAAGTACGATAGACGCATATTTGTAAAACATGCATTGGCAGGTATACCTTTTTTAGTGCACTTCTTCCAGTCGGTAAAAACTAGTGTTGTACGCTAATCGATTGACATAATAATCGAGGCCAGAGAATATTAATAACAGTAACGTTTATCGGTATTTGATACATTAGGAAACATTCTAATATTTAAATTACCTGCTTACCCGAAAGCGCATTTACTTAAACAACGGCTTCATTTCATACGTAGCTAATTACGTCGCACAGTGTTTTTTTTTTCACCCGAAAAAGTGACATTCTGTTTTTATCACTAATATCCAAAGTTTAACTTATTTTTAATGTTAGACTAAAACACCCAGGTGACAAATAGCTATAGATTATTAAAAAAAAAATATTTTAGAAAATTTATTTTGTACTGGGTCAAACTACAATTTTATTATTATTTAAAGAAACGTACACACTAAGCTTCTCTTTGCATTGCAGGTAGGTAGGTTGGTGTATGGCGAATATTATTGCACCTATAATTATTTAAAAGTAGTTATAGGAACGACAGTATGATTATTTTTTAAATTAAAGAAATTATTATTTTTCTCTTTTTCTACGCCGAAGTAGAATCTCTGCTTAGGTCAGATAAATTTCTTAAAATAAGTTCTATCAATATTAGAGTTAGAATATTATAGAAAAATTTTCTATAATATTCTAACTCGGCCGCAATTTTGAGAAAAAATAGTTTTTCCAAAATGTTAGGATTGTCACAAAAAATGACCTTACGTAGTTCCACTTTCTTTAGGGTTCCGTGGCCAAAGGATGCTAACGGGACATAATTAATATTATGCAAATATAAATACCACTCCTGATGATCAAGAGTAGATGACCCAGTACAAAATAAATTTTCTAAAATATTAAAAAAAAATCTATAGCTATTTGTCACCTAGGTCTTTTAGTCTAACATTAATAATATAATAAGTTAAACTGTGGATATTAGTGATAAAAACAGAATGTCACTTTTTCGGGTCAAAAAAAAAACACTGAGCGTCGTGCACAGATTTAATCAAGGTAATTTGAATAGTTAGGGCCGAGTTTTGTTACTTCTATATTTCATTTCAATTCTGAAATTTAACTTGCCTTTATTTTATAAACACAAGGAGTGAAGAACGGCGGATTTAGAGAGTTCTCTATAGTTAAAATATTTTTATAACTTTAAATCAACTCGCAGATATTGGAAGTACCTATTGGCTCCGTGCACGATTACAGCGCCAACTAGCGTCCACAACTTTGTGGGCTCTGCCACATTGACATTTAGGTCGTATATTTTTGTGAAAAAATATCGAAATGAAAAAATAACAAATATTTTCAACTAATAAATTGTTGTGATACGATTTGGGTGGAAAAAAGGTTTTGAAATCATTTTGGTCATTCAAATCAAATGAGGTAAGTCCAAAAAGTGTGTTTAATTTTGATTGTGTCAGGGTTTGTTTACTTCATTTATAGTTGTAGTTTTACAGTAAAACAAAAAGAAAAAGCTACTTTAACGGTTTCATTATATAACAGTAAATATATTTAAATGTTTCTGTATCGCTAGTAATAAATTAAATATCGTTTTCAGATCGAAATGAGTATCGTTTTGAAGACCGGGTTTGTGAGAGTTACAATATCAAATTCCAACCACAAACCGTATTTAAAGGAAAGTTGTTGGTATTGGCTGGACAAGTCCGAGATGTAGAAGAATTAAGAACAAAACAAGGGCAGAGTTCAATAATTCACGCTCTCATCATAAGGCAAACATCTGTGCACAACAACTACTGTGACTCATTTTTGTACTACCACGTTGTATAGTTTAGTTATTTCCAAATTGTAAACGGCTATTAAAACAGCCCTATCGAAATACAGTCCACTCTTTTATTTAAGTTCCCAGTAGGACCCTTTTCATGCGATTAATTAATGATATTAAAATGTATTATGTAGAATCGCTTTGCCATTGACAGATACATCTGATGACAGAGCTAACATTATTTCTACTTTTGACCACCATGAGCGCTGCGATAGATTATGTCCCCCCCACCTAGTACTTCGCACCCAGCGAATACCTTCAATCAATTTGTCGTTCAAGGAGACAGGCTGATTATGAGATAGATTTTATAGGATTTATTCCACTCATCAGCTGGGTGAACCAATTCTGAGGTAAAGATAGGTCTCTGCATTAGTCGAATTTTTTACACCTGGGTGATATGGTTTCTAGGAAGACACCAGAAAATCTACTTTTTTCACCCAGATAATATCACACAGGTGAACATAATGGAGAAAACTTGACATTAAATACATAATATTCGATTCTCTAATCCCGATTCAGTAACGCCCGTATTCACAAACGATGCTTGCTTAATTGAAGCAGCAAATCGAACGCACAGCGTTGAATAGAGCTCTGTGATTGGTTCATGTGTCACCCTGTGCGTCCACGCACACTGTGAGATCTCATAGTAATGTTTGTGAATACGGGCGTAAGACTGCTCAAAGTGTTCAAGCTCCACTAACTAAGCTGACTGTACATCCTATACTGATACTGCCAATGAAAATTATGCCCCCTTTAGTCCCGTGAGCGGCACTTCCTGCAGGGACTCAACGTTATTTAATAACTGACGCGGAAGAAGAATGCATCATTCAATCAGGAGCAGGGCTGAACATGTGCTGAATTTTACCATTACATCTCCACAGATTAGTTTTGGGAAGTTTTTAAATCTGGAAGTAAGATCCTTTTCAGATTTGTCTGTCACACTAATGACTTCATGAGGGCTCTTAGTTACTTTTTCACGAAAAGGTAGACAGTATAATTTCATCTCTTTCTTCTTGACCGTCATAAGGTCATTTAATTTTAATCGCCACTGCTGGAACACGATTTTTTCTAATTTACTAGAGGTCTTGCTAGGGTTTCTGTTTTCTTTGATAAGCATGTTCAAATACGTAATACCGATTAATTGGATTTTTCATGAATTACTTACAACTTATCCCTAAATACGAGTAAATTGAATTTCTGAGTCTTTGGGAAAATTTATCTTGTTATGGGGTATCGTTATTGCTATAACATCTGAGAATACAACCCTAGTGGCAGACCACAGGCCGACGCGTAACGAGCCCTTTAAAGCTAGGCTAGCTAGATTTCCACGGAAATCTAATTGATAACGCCTATAACGTCAAAAGTAGGTAACTGGTAACATCATCATTATTTTCTTGTTGCACAATTTTTATTTAGGTACTTATTTTGTGTGCTTCCTCTTCAGACCTCCGGATCAAGACGGTCCAATTTTTCACCACGGAGGAGTTCTACCTTAATACCTTTCTGTTTAATTATTACACCAACATCATTAATATTTTTTAATTTTTATCGTGCGTAGATCAGGTCATCGTACGAGATCCCAAAATAGTTTGCACTGAATTCGACACATGTAGATTTATTCAGGTTACTGTTGACCGGGTAATCCAAGACATTTTGTATGTGGTTCCATGCGAATTCTTATAAATTCCATTTGATAAACATGAGTGGAGGAATAATTTGGGCCTAGTTGATGGACGTTGAAACCTGTATGGCAACTGTAATTTATTTTTGTAAGACTAGCCTAAGACACCTATGATATTATTTATCATTTATTTATTTATATCAATCTGCTCCTGACTGTGACCTTGGTACCTATATTAATACTGCTAGGTGGTGTAGACCTTATTGGACGTACATCGGCATGATTCTCATAAAGATGATAAATGTAAATATAGGTACCTTCCTTAATGGTGTAACTTCTCTTAAACAGACCTTGGTCTTCACTATTGAGGTCTGTATGTATGTATTGGAAGTCATGCTCTGCCTGTATAGGAGTTTCAGCAATGGAAACAAGAGGTGTCTTTAATAAAGCTTTAGTTTACATTTGACTTTCAATATATCAATTTAATCCTTTGACTAGCTTACATATTATAGAGGTCACCGGGGTTAATAGGTACAAATACAAAACAAAACTACACACATTACTTTAGTCGCGTGCGCTTCCGAAGCAATTGAGGGCTCCCAGTCGAAACGTGTTACACCTATTTCCGAATAAAAAGTAAGCAATTTCTAAACGAAAATCTGATTTGCTGTCTATGTCTACAAACATAAGAGCAAAATGTTCGAACATTCGTTTCTTTCTACGTTGGAAGGTCATGGTTTAAGATTCGCCCAAACGTGCGCGATGGCGATGGCGATCAGATGTCGTGTATGATTAACTAGCGATCGCGATCGCGTGAATCTCATTTTACCCCCTTAGGGGTGGAGTTTCATAAAACCCTTTCTTAGCGGATGCCTACGTCATAACATCTATCTGCATGCCAAATTTCAGCCCGATTCGTCCAGAGGTTTGGGCTGTGCGTTGAAAGATCACTATGTCAGTCTGTCAGTCAGTCAGTCACGTTTGAGTTATATACTCGTATATATTTAGATTTGTTTGTAGCAATGACTTCACACCATCGCCATTGCCATCGCTGCCGCGATCTGCCCGCGTTGGTTTGGTCGAAGCTTTACGATTAATGTAAATTGT